CAGGGTAAGAAAGCAAAGAATACTTTATTCAGTCAAATTTACAGAAGGATTTGAGAAAGAATCACATCACTAACTCAGAACTTCACCAAAACAAAGCTGAGTGTTCCCTTTTACAGCTCCAAATATTACCACACAGCATAAAAAGGCATTTCATTTTCTTGTCTCATTATAAAGAAAGCAGCCCTTGTTAGTACGCTTAAAAGAAAAATGCCATTGCCTGGATCTAAGCTATTTGTTGTTGAAATCCATTATCCAGGCACTGACAGAGCCAGAGCTCTTTCACTAAAAAATATGCAGGTCAGCTATTATACTTGGCTGCGGACTCTCATATTACACTCTATTCCACTGCCCATACTGACTTCTTACAAAAAGGAGCATCCTTCCAGGTTAGGTGCAACTTTTTAATGCATTTCTTCTGTAACTATATTTTTGTCTGTATAAAAGCTAAGCTATGTATCCTCAAACTATGGGCATGTGCAAGTTCCTAACAACTAGATATAAAACTATTCCAGGTGTGCATAGATAATTAGGTAACCATTCATGGAAAATGTGCCAACAAAAAATTTCTTTTTCGGATTTAGTGACTGCTTTAATATTTTAGCACACACCTTAGTAACACGCTACTAACTTCCTTTTTGATGACCTTGTTGACAATTCTGTCTGCTGTCTCTTGCAAGAAGTCTAAGGTGCTGAGCATCTGCTCTAGAGCAATAGTGGCCTCACTACCAAGGAACACTAACAGCAGAACTAAGCTAACGAGCATTTTCAGGCTTAGTAGGCCAGGGCTGAGCATTAGTGTAGTTAGAGCTGATGAGGTAAGATATATGTGAGGTGGAGACAGAATAAGAAAAAGAAACAGCTGTAGCTTAACAGGAAGCAAGTGTTAAGTACCAGAGGTCCCAAAAGACCAAGAGGTAGCAGGAGGTAACCAAAAGCTACAAGGACAATAGCAGGGACCTGCGGGCAATGAGGAAACCAAAAGAATTTAAGAGGCTGAGGAAATAGTAGGTAGAGACTAGGAGGCAGAGGTGCAGTGCAGAGGACAACTGATAGAAAAAGGGGTGCCAAGAAAGACTGAGAAATTGTTTTAACTGTATCCACACTACCATGTGTATAGCTTTTACATATAGCAAATTCATAGGTAAATTCTGAGTTTTTAAAATATTTCACTACTGAAAACTCACAGACTGGGTGTCCAATACTGTTTTTAACATTGGGGATGACAACAGAGTAAGCAGGTGACTGGAAGGGACAAATGCCAGCTGGATTTGTAGCGATGATACTCTGAGAAGTGCTGGAAAACACAGCAGAGACAGGCAGTGGAAAACGCTTCCTTTTGCCTGGCCGTGGTTGATAAACCCAACCTGTCAGAGACGAAAAAAGATGTAGACATCCGTTTTTTGGGACAGTCTCATTCTTTATGAAAGGGTATGATATCTGTAATTCTGAAGTATCTAAAAAAATTACTCCAAAAGCTGCTCCTATAGTCAACAGCAATAAGCCATTTGTTTCATCGAGCTAGCAAATGGGGCATTTTATCAGAAGTGGAAATAAAACGGACATATTTGGGCATTGTTTTTATGTTACTAACTAGTAACTGTGAGACATAGAAACACAGTGGGGAGTGACGTGGCACAGCTGAGGAAAGCATGTTAAGGAGAACATGACACTACCATGGGCTTTCAGTGAAGAAGAAAATCATAACTGTATTCAAAATGTGGATCTTTCCTGAGTGTTTCCTTAACCCCTTAAGTCTCACATATACCTGCAGGTTACAAAGGACAACAGAAAATATGACTCACTAAGAATCCTGTGCAGATTTTGGAGGAGTACTTTTGCCTTTGAGTTACAACATTAACCAAACACTAACAGATGTATAAATATATTACAAATTTACACTGAGCAGCTAGGTTGCTTACACAGGCTAACTCTTAATGCAACTCCAAAGAAGCTCTTTTTTTTTTTTTTGTCTTTTGCTTGTTTATGACAGATTAGCCAGATCTTGTCTACCAGGATTAGCCATAATCATGAACTAGCAGGATTATGACAACAGAGGAAGAAAGTATCACAGCACCTGGTATCTCAACAGCTTTTTAAAAGAGTGTTCAAAGTACTTATCCTCTGCTTTATTGAACTGCACTGTTATGGAAAAATTAATGTTAAGGGTACACATTTTAAGCCTTTTGGCAAAAGGCTGAGAAACAACATCTTTATTTGGGAATTCCAAGTCTACATGTTGAAGAATCCCACAGAATACCATGCCATTTGTGTTTCCTGTGGCATTTCCCTTTCCTGATTTTAAGGAATGGATGCATGTGTCACCACAGGCCACCTGGGCAGCTCTTTCTGGAGAATGTAAAATGATGCAGCAGGACATGTTCACAATAAATGCACTATCTGACCATTAGATTACTAAAGCATTCAGAAGAGCTGCTGTAGCTGTGGTGGTCTAAGACCATAAGAAACATTAGAAGCTATGAAGGATGAAACATAATTTTGGGTGCTATAAAAAATTAATATGCTTTCAGGCACTAGAAAGCTGACAGAAGGACTGTGTGCTTGAAATTTTTGTATTTTTTTTTTCCCAGCTATTACTTGTGTTAATAAAAAAGATCAATTTTTCAGAAAGTCTTGCACTTATAAAGCATTCAGGTAAATAAAAACATGTTTACCAGGAAATTCCTCTCTATGCCTTTGTTTTATTTTCTGCGCTTCATCATAATAGGGCTGCTTCTGCTCTTCAGTCAGTTTGCTCCACTCCAATCCAAGCTGGACACTGATTTCTGCATTATTGGCAGCTGGATTAGCTTTTGCTAGGGCAGGCCGATGAATCCTAGCCCACACCATAAATGCGTTCATTGGACGCTTTACATGGCCACTTTTGTCCTTGCTAAATGGAGTATCTGCCATACCTATGCAAACAAATGAGGAAAGATGATCATCTTCCAGGCAATATATGCAATATAGGTTACATTCAATAGTACATCAAGAGGATATTTGGCAATAGTCAAAAGAATCACTAGAGCTTTGAAACACATGAAACTCGATGCACATCTGGAGAGCAGTTTCTAAAAAAATAACTAAGGCCAAGGGAGTATCCTTCACTAACCTTCACTGAACCACTGCATAAGGAATAATTTACCTGGTTTTTGTTACATATTATTGAAAAACAAAACAAAACAAAACATACGGAACTGCTAACACATTGGTTTGTATTTCATTTGGCTAGATTGTTCTCTTATGAATTTATAAACTAAACATTGTATAGCATAGACCATATCAGTGCAAATTTGTCATCACCACCAGAATTATGTATTCAAGGCCCTAATGATGCTTATCATCGGGACCAGGTCTAATGATAGTATGGCAGTTTAGTCCCACACCTGCAGTCCTTGGCTTCTCAGCTAAGGTTGTTGCTGCTCTGGGTTTCTGGTTGTTTTATTGTTTTGTTTCTTCCAGATTTGGATACTCATTTTGATGGTGAAACCTGTGTTACGTAATGACTGTTATATGACACTCAGCTTTGGCTCTTTGTAAATACAAACTGCATTTAAACTGAGCTGGTGACATGATGAACCCCCAGACGCCTCACAACTGATCCCTGAGCAAGAAATTTCCTCTGTGAAAAAGGCTTGGAAATGAACTCTTCCACATTATCAATAAAGGGCAAAGACCTCACTTTAAGTCATTAATTTTGAAAGCCTAGCTAGCTTTCAAAAAAAGTAAGCTTCTAATCCAGATGCTTCAAAGTTTTCCTCATCTAACATGTCCAGATTTTCTCAGAGAAGTGTATGAACACATCATAGCTGTAAAAATCAAGCAGATTCCTGACCTTAAACTTGCAATCACAACGCAATGCAATTCTGAACACTTTTGTAAGGGGTTTAAATAAGTCAGAGAGCAAGCGGACAAAATCGCACTGATTTTAAAAAACCACTAGAGAACTCTGTGCTCCCCTGTGTTTATGTCTTAGGCTGAGGAACAGAGTTGTACGAACTCCAAAGGGATGGTTCAACACAACCCTTCCGTTTGCATTCTCCTATCTGACAACCTGTCGGCTGTGTGCCACTCACTGAACCCTTGCAAGCTGTCTTAACGTTATACCTGAATCGGAGGGCAGTACTGTGAGGGGAACATTTTTAGTCTCAATCTTTACTGAAGGCTCCAGTAAAGACTGCATTTTAAGCGGCACTTGTTTCACTGGCACTTTAGCCACACGCATCAGCTCTGGCGGGACCGGGCCTTGGATCTGTATGCAGGTCCCAGGAGGTAAGGGGTGAAACACAACCGGGCTCTTCAGATCTTCAGGGAGGATCCCAAACCCCTCACACGGCTGCACCTTGCGGCCATCGGTGCTGGCATGAGCAGGCCCGCACAGGGATGCGGCCAGGGCATCGTCTTTTTCTGTCTTCACCCTGCAGGCCTCAAAGGCCGTGTCGGGCGTCTCCCCTTTGACAGCGCCTCCTCCTCTCCAGTGCTCCTTCCCATTCCCCCTCTTCTCCACCACCTTCGCCTCCTCCTTGCTCGCTCCGCCGACCCTTTCACGGTCCTTTTCGCTCCTGCCGGCGCCGCGGGCCTCCTCTCTTCCTGCCCACGGCGCCGGGGAGCCCCCGAACGCTCCCCCCGACCCTCTGCCGTCCCTGCAGCTGCCCGGGGGATCCCCCTCCCCCGGCTCGGCCTCCTCCACTTTGACTTGCAGCACCCTGAGGGGCCCCACCACCTCCCACTGCTGGGGGGGCGGCGGAGGGCGGCTGGGGCCCGGCGGCGGCTCCGGCGGAGCGGCGGAGCGGGGCGGCCGCTCCATCCCGCCGCGGCTCCTCCGCCGCCCGCGGCCGTTGGCGCCAACGGCCACCGCGCCCTCGCGCCGCGACACGGCGCCGTCGCCATGGAGACCCGAGGCCGTTCGCCTCCCGCGGCCGGCACCATAGAGAGGTCCACCTAGTCGCCCGGCAGGGCTTGGCGCCGTCGCACTCGGCGGTCGCCCAGCGCTTCCGCTTCCGTCCCGGCCATGCAGGGGGGCTGGCGGGTGCTGTCGGCCATCGCGGCGGGCCGCGGGCGCTGGGCCGGTTGTGTGCGCGGCTGTGGCCGCCTCCGCCCCTCAATGGCAAAAAGCAAGTTCGAGTATGTGCGGGACTTCGAGGCGGACGACACCTGCCTGCCCAACTGCTGGATTGTGGTCCGGCTGGACGGCCGCAACTTCCACAGGTGAAGGACCGGGCGGGCAGCCAGCCAATGGCCGGGGCGCTTAGAGCGGTGTGGTCGCCATGGCGACGCCTCAGCGAGCAGGAGGATGGGGCCTGGCAGACGGCGGGGCGCGGGCGGGAGTTTCCTCGGCCTAAGGGCGCAGGCTCCGAGCGCTGTGCCGAGGAGAGGGGCGCTGGCCGGTGCCGTGCAGTTGGCCTTGGCCGTTTCCTGCCCGGCCCGCGTGAATTCTGCAGGTGCAGGGGTCGCAAACCCTCCTTACCCCCCGAATCCTTGTGAGCCCCTTCCCTCGGCCTCTCCAGGGCACGGAGTTGTCACGGGTGTTTTGTCTTCAGGGGCCGTGGGCAGCTTCAGAACCGTGCCTTCGGTAGGGTGGTAGGGCAGTGGTTACCAGTGCTCAGGTGTGCTGGGGGAAGGACAGCAACTGGTATACAGGGATATTTATTTTGTTTGGAGTCAATGTGGCATTTGCCTTTCTTTGGGATAAATAGAGCATAGGCTCTGTCAAGCAGTAGGTGACATGTTCTTGCTGGGGATTTGATCTCTGGTTTGGTCATGGGGGTGTCTGGTAAAGCTCTCAAGCTTTGGCAAGTTAATTGATAATGTTGCCCTTATTGGACTGACAATAAAAGGCACCCGGGAGAGTGTGAGTTTACAGAAAGTACTCTTTGTCATTGTTTTCAAAGTAAAATACAGAAAGCGGTAATTCTGAAGGACTGGTTAGGGTGAAATACTGATGGGAAAGAGAATGAGTTATCCAGAGTATATAAAAGGAGGTTTTTTGTTACTGCTTTTCATACCTGGAGGGAATTTTCTGTCAGCATCGACAGGATATTGGAAATCAATATTCATGGAAAGCAAGCATGAGGAAAATAAATGGGTATTTTCATTATCTTTTTAAAGGATTCTTATTCAACCATTTTTGCTTTGAAGGTTTTCTGAGCAGCATGAGTTCAAAAAGCCCAATGATGACCGTGCTCTTCAGCTGATGACCAAGTGTGCCCAGACAGTGATGCAAGAATTGGAGGATATAACTATTGCTTACGGACAGAGTGATGAATATAGTTTTGTTTTCAAAAAGAAGAGCAGATGGTTTAAAAGAAGAGCGAGGTAACAGCTGCTTTGATGCTGAAGTGAACTTGTTTTTAACATCTCTCTTTAAACCTGTAATTCTTCTTTAAATTTGCCTTTATCTACACACAGAGATTAGGACTAGGGCTATGTTTGGGTGCATACACTACAATTAGTTCAGGTTCTTCATGCTAACTCTTTGCATGCGATCTTTCAGGAATGTAAGTTCAGTGAAACAGAGTTTTTTAAAAAGGTTTTGTTGAAACAAACATTGTCAGAACAAACATTCTTTTAATGAACTGTTACCTTTTTCCAAATTCTTTTACTTGATTCTCAGTACTTCCTGTTCTTCAAAAGATTCTGTGCTGTTGCTGGTCTGCTGGGCCATTATTTAAGAAATGCTGCTACCCACCAGAACTATCATGACTAATACCTCAGATAATCACAGATATATATGATTGTATTGATGTATTTGTTTCTTTTTCCTTCTGCTTTGTGTTTGCAAGTAAGTTCATGACTCATGTGGTCTCCCAGTTTGCCTCAAGTTACGTTTTCTATTGGAAAGATTACTTTAAGGACCAGCAACTTCTGTACCCACCAGGATTTGATGGACGAATTGTGTTGTATCCCAGCAACCAAAATTTAAAGGACTACCTCAGCTGGAGACAAGCTGATTGTAAGCATTTCTAGAAACGCAGATTTGTGCAGTTCTCTTTTTCTCTGAATAGAAATGCCTTTATTTCCAGTATATTTGTATATATAGGTATCAGTGAGAGAACAGCAGGTAGGGTGGTAGTTATAAATAAACAATATTAGAATTGTTTTGGGCTTTATATGGATACATAAATACTGGCTGAAATTCTGAGTCTTCAGGCTACAGCTATATTGTTGCATCCTGGGAGTGAGTTCAGCACAGGAAATATTAGAATTATTAATAGAATTAATTTATTGGCTTTTATGTTCTGGGTTTGTTTAGCCAATGTAATCTACTTTAATGAAGAGATGTGAATGTTCAGATTCACAGCATATAGAAATCAAAAGTGCTATATATTCCATGCTAGAACAGACCATTGAAATTACTTTCTAGGCTTTTTTTTAATACCTAGTCCCTGTTGCTCAAATTAAGATAATTTATGTTATACATAAACACGCTTCACCGCCTGCTCTCCCTTTTCAGAATTATAATGAAATCTATCTTCTAGTTTTATGATATTCAGTAACTTAAAATCGGGTCAGAAAAGATTATATATTGTCCAGGAACTGATAATATTAATTCCTCTATTCTTGGCTATTTCTTGGATATGACTCTGGAAATAAAACTGTTTTTCTGAGTAGTCACTTAGATTTGGTAAATACTCTTTCACTCTTTTTTCTCTTTCTACAGGCCATATTAATAACCTTTATAATACAGTGTTTTGGATGCTTATACAGCGAAGTGGCTTGACACCAGGGCAAGCACAGGACAGACTTCAGGTAAGAGTCTCTTGAGGTCTTGGTTTTTTCCAGCTACAAAGAAAATGATAAGATTTTCAAAGCTGTGTCTTGCCTACCCAGCAGCCCATGGCAGGCTTCTCTGTTCTTACTGTAATAATTTTGTGGGTGTAGATTCAACAACTTCTTGAATTGCACAGATGTTAATATGATTACCAAATAATGTATTTTTCGTCAAATATTAGCAGGATTTTAATTTCTTAATTAGCAAGTTCAGAAATCTTAGAAATGTCATATAAACATCCAGTATTCCTAAGCACGAGGTACAATAGCAGGATTCAGCTACTATTGATTCATTTTCTGTAGAATTCTCTGTTCTGTAGAAATTCTCTGTTTTAATACCCTTATTTGGCACTTGAAAAGAATTCCTCTGTTGGGAGAGGTAATTAAACCTTGTAATTTAAAGGTGAAAAACCTGCATAAATGTCAGCCTTACTTCCAGTATTCACCCATCTTCTACCCTAGAGATTCGGTTTGTTTGTTTGTTTGTTTTCTATAAGACTACTTTGTCTTTTCATTTACTCTCAGGGAACTTTGGCTGGAGATAAGAATGAAATCTTATTTTCTGAATTCAACATCAACTACAATAATGAACCTTTGATGTATAGAAAAGGAACTGTCTTAATATGGCAGAAGGTAAAGAAACTCTATTACTACTTGCTTCATGCTTTAAATAGGTACACTATGGCAGACACACTACACCAGAAGATCACCAGCTGTATCCCAAGTGTATGTCTATGTATGAATGTATTTTAAAACTAACCATATTTCCCATATAGTGATGTGTAAGATGACTGTTTTGGAGATTTTTTGAGATACTGTATGAACATAGTGTAAAAATTAATCTCTGAAGTCTGGCTTCAATACCAGTTATGACTTGAGATAAAGTGTGTATCAACAGATGACAGTGTATATGTAGAATTTCATAAGACTGATATATTTACTAGCTAAATCTCCCTTGATTAATGAATCATACAGTTGGTTTCTTAGTGTTACCAGCTTTGAAAATTGAGGAAGTGTTCTGCTTCCTGAAAAATTACATTTTAATGTCTGCTGTCAGTTTGATATGATAATCACTGGGGCCTGTGCCAGGCCCTTCACAGGATTAGATCCCAAATATTTCCACTGCAAAGGAGTTACAAACTGTAGTTCAGTAAGGTAGCTTAGCTCATAGTGTGCTTAAGCCTTTTCTACTTCTGTAAAGGAGCGTGGTAAGGAGTGCAGCTGTTAACAGGGAATTTCTTTTAATGATAACTTGGAAATGTTCATCATTCCAGGATTACGTCACCGATCCAGAATTAGTGGAAGAAATTCCTTTCCTGTGTTTTGTATGAAATGAGACCCCAGCAAATCATAAATGTTTATGGCCTTAGTGTCCTTCCGTACCGGGAGATCTTAACTAGAAATCTGTATGTTTCATGTGATCAGGACCTCATCTGTCTATCTTAAGATTTTCCATAAATTGCTCAGCCTTTTGTCTTCTATACATAAAAAAAATAATAATCCTTTATTTTTTTATTTAAATTTTGGCCAACAATTTCTATTACTTTGAACTAATTAGAACAGATACAGGCTCCCACCTGGAAATATATTTCACTTGTTCCTTGTGTGTATTTTTTTCTTGGTAATTGTAGACATTTGCAAAGTTTCCCATTTGCTTTATATAGTTCCAAATTAAATACTGTACTTCATTCAAGAATCCTTGCAATTGGCTATGTGAATTTGCAGGTCATTTATTTGAGTCATGTGATGATGACATGCATGTCAACTGCTCATGGGTTAGTCTTTGAATTGAGAATACACTTCTCTTTCAGAAGATGCAGTGTTCAAATTCTGTAGTATGCTATGGGGATGATAGTTGCTTTTGTTGTAGCTTTGTTTCTTGTCCATTTGTGAATCCCCTCTGGAGTCTTACATGTCTGCTAATGTGTCAACTGTATTTTCAGATTAATGAAGTTATGACTAAGAAGATAACACTGCCAAAGAAAGCAGAAGAAAAGGAAGTTGAAGTGACCCGGACTAGGACTAAAGTTGTTCCCCTGCACTGTGACATTATTGGGGACCAGTTCTGGGAGGAATATCCTGAGATTCTGGCTGAGGATAGTTGATATCTCTGACTATAACTGGTAGTTCACATTCTGCTCTGCTTGGGTTGTTGGCAAGTAAGGAGTATGAATGGTGGCTGGCCGAGTTTAACCTCAAACCCTCTTCAGCAACTACATTGGTTTTAGCACTGTTGTTGCTTGAAAAAAAAGACACTGTTATGTTGTCTGACATACAAGAATATGCTCACATGGAAAACCTAAAATCGTATTTTATTTTGAATGTTAAGAACTCCTCATAAATTAAGACTGCTCCTTCCTTGTACATGCATATTTGTAGAAAAAGTGTATAGAAATTTCATGCATTTCTATAGCATTTAAGCCATGAGGTATTTTAATGGACTGCTGCACTATAAAAGGCTTGCATATTTGAACAGTTAAAAGTAGAGAAGAAAATAATTATTTTGATTTTTGTTTCAACTGAGATGGACCAGAATATTTCAACTGACACTTATTATTAAATTTCAAGGGCAGTGTGATTAGTGACAAACTGTTCAACTCCCTTATGTCTCTGATTTTTACAGGAAGGAAATGGAGTAGCCCAGCCATTTCCTATGACTGATTGTTAAAAGCTTTTTTAAAATGTACAGGATTTTTATACTTTTAAAAGTTAAAAAAAAAATTATTATTCTCTGCTGTGTTTATTACTTGGCCTTTTGCATTCCTGGGACTTTCCCTAGTGATTGGTGAAAGTTCTAAACAGTGAAGTTAACAATAAAGATACTATACAGACTTGAGTGCTCTTAGGACAGGGGTAGACATTGTGCTCTCATCTTCAGTGGCCTGGGAAGTCATCAGTCTCCCATGGTGCAGTAGAGTGAACGGTCGCAACAGAGGGGAACATCCCTGGTGCCTGCAAAGAGGGTGCTAACAAGAACTTAACTTACTGTTCTCTGATTTTCCTGGGGATGACACAGACGTAGCAGTTCTGACAGTACTTGTTAGTTAGAAGGAAGAGGAGTGTGTGCTGCCTGATCTGTTGTCATGGTTTAAACCTGGCCGGCAGCTGAACACCATGCAGCTGCTTGCTCAGTCTCCCCCACCCTGGGGAATGGGGGAGAGAGTTGAAGGGGTAAAGGTAAGGAAACGCATAGGTTGGGATAAAACCAACTTAATAACTGAAGTAAAGTAAAATAACAATAGTAATAATAGAAAATACAGATGAGTAATGCACGATGCTATTGTTCACCATCTGCCAACTGCTGCCCAGCCTGTTCCCGGCTAGTGATCCTAGAGAAGAGAGAATCCTGAAACCCCAGTCCTGGAAGCAAGAGCGAGCTTCCTGATCAACCCTCATCTATATACTGAGCATGATGTTGTATGACACAGAATATTGCATTGGCCCATTTGGGGCCAGTGCTCTGGCTGTGCTCACTCGTAGCTTCTTGTGCACCTGTGCACAAGCAGGACCTGGGAAGTTAAAAGTCCTTGATTTCTCAGCAACAACTAAAAACATCAGCGCATTATCAGCATTCTTCTTATACCAAATCCCATAGTGGATCCAAACCACAGCTCTGTTCTAGCTACTAAGAAGAATCAAAAAAAAAATAAAATAGCTATATCCCAGCCAAAACCAGGACATCTATGCACAGTTTGTCAGAACAGTTAAATCGTACAACCTCTCAGAGGAGAAACATTTCTGCTAATGTAAAGGGGCTTGTCCCAGTGTAACTGGAATTTGATTGAAATAACCTCTTTCAGTACAGAGATAAAACTATAATGGTATAATAGGTATTTATAAGGATATTATTACTGCTTTTAACTGTACTTGTTTCAAAAACGTGGTTCTAGAACTGTAATCTGGCATGCTGTTGCTGAGAGAGAGAGAGCATTTGGGACCGGCCATAAAAATGGAAAGAAAGAATCAGATGTGACTGAAGATCAGTACTGAGTTATTTTCCCCTTAATTTGCCTAGTAGCCTACTCTGTCTCACCTTTTCTTCCCACAGGAAGAACCTGCACATTTAAGGCAATGTGTGCATTTTAATTTTACATTGAAAAAAAAAACAAACCCAAAAAAACACCAAAACAAACCAACAAAAGAAACTAAACAGGTGCTGATGTAAACTACTACTTTGCAGTTTCTTCCCAAGATTAAAAAATGAGTCCATGTGTTTATAATAGCGCAGGGCTTCCCCTCTACTGCCATGTGCCAATACTGAGCAGTTAAGTACATGCAGTGAGAGAATGCCTATCATTTTTAGTTTGTAGAATGGGCTGTATAATTCACAGGAAGAGGATATGAGAGATTGTGAGGTTATGACTGAATGAATCATTACACTGGTCATTTACCACTAAGAACTTCCTCTCTGTCTGTTTTGTTTTTGTTTTTTTTTTTTTTGTCTTGTAACTCAAATGTAATTTACTTGACTTTGAAAGGCCATATGTTACTATCTGGTGCCTGACTTCAGATATTACATATACAGCAACTGTTCCAGAGGTGGTAACATATGGATTTTGCTGTCTGAGTAAGGATGAAAATAAATTTTGGCAAACATGATTCATGCTTGGGAAGTATGATGTAGGGTTTTTTATCATCTATATTATGACGACCTGATACATCAATAGATATATTGTAGAATGTATGTACATTGTGTGTGTCTATGTTAGGTCTTACCCTCAGAACATTTTCTAATTAACTCATCTTTAATATATAATAAACATGTATATATGTAAACATACGTTTACATATGGATGCAGACAAGATTTGGATTGTCTGTAGAGCCATGGCCTTTAATTTGTATTAATGTAGGTGCTAGAGAAAGCAATTGCCTGGTGGTATCCTCATATATATGTCTTCACAGATGTAGGGGAAAATAAATCTTGCCATGGTTCAAGAAGCAGACTGCCCTCAGTGGCACACACAGCTTGCCCTGTGCCCTGTGCCTCTACTTGTAGCTATTTCTGTAGCTGCCTAAGACCCGTTCAGTGGCCCAGTGAAGAAACGGGTGCTTCCTCCGAAGCCGGTCTGCAGCCTCTGCCTGATGTTGTACTGCCGTGACAGGAACCAGTTATGAAAGACTACTGGTAGGTGGTGGAACGCGTTACGGTAAAACCACTGCAGCACTAACACGTGTTGCTGTGCCGTTCTTCGGGGAAACGTTGCTGCGCCGCACACCCTTTTACGGATTAAAAAGCAAATTACATTGCAACCCCCTCTTTTTGCCCCTTACCACCTCATCGTCCGGGGGGTGCCGAGCCCGGCGCTGCCGTCGCACCGGGGAGTTACCGAGATGCGAAACCGCACTGACACCGCCGGGACCGTAACTGCCCGGCCCCGCCCCCCGCCTGGCCCCGCCCCCCCACCTGGCCCCGCCCCGCCGAGCTCCGGCGGGCGGCGCGGCGGCGCCCCCTAGCGGCGGCGCCCCGTCCCGCCCGCCGCCCGCCATGGAGGAGGCCGAGGGGGCTGCGGGGGGCGCGGAGCCGCGGCGTCCCCGCCGCCGGCCCGGGGCCGAGCGCTCCCCCAGCCCCAGCCGCCTGGACGTGAGCTCCAACCGGTTCGACCCGCTGCTGGCGCTGTACTCCGCCAGCACGCCGCTGCCCTTCCCCGCCGCGCCCTGCTTCAACAACCTCGCCGAGTACGAGAGCTTCCAGCGCGGCCTGCTCCGCCCGCGCGGCCGCCGCTCCGCTCCCTCCCGCCGCGGCGGCCCCGCCGCCCGCCGCGGCCCCCCCGCCGCCGACCCCGAGCGCATCCAGCGTCTCCGCAGCCTCATGGTCAACGCGGGCCCCGAGCAGGAGGCGGCCGAGGGCGGCGCGGCGGCCCGGCGCCGGCGGGCGCCCCGCAATGTCCTCACCAGGATGCCCCGTAAGGGCGCGGGCGGGCGGGCTGAGGGGTGGCGGGGCGGGAAAGGGGAGCGAGGCGTGAGGGGTGGAGTGAGGGCGGAGGAGGCGGGGGGGGGCTGAGGGGGAGGCCGGGGGGCTGCGGGCCGGGCCCGGGTGTGGCCGGCGGGCGCGGGGTTGGGATGGAGCTTGGGGGTTCGAAGAGGGCGGCGGCTGAAGGAAGTGGTTGGGTGGCAGCGGGGTGTGGGTGGGTCGGAGGGGGAACTGGGGGAGTTTGGGTGGAAAACGGTACTTGCGTGCAGAAATGAGGACATTGCGTGCAGAAATGAGGAACGGTGCGTTTCACAGAACTGCTTACTCAGAGATGACGCTGGTGTTACGGTGATGTTCTCTGTTATTTGATTGATTGCATTCATCCTCCCGATTTTAGTGAAAAAAAGGATGAGAAACTGCTGTGAGTTCGAAAGTACTATTTTTACACCGGGAATCAGATTTGAGTCCATGCAGCTTATAATTAAATCACAATGGCAGCATGAGTCTGTAACGCACTGCTATATCTTGGTTACTAACTGTACATCCTGGGGGCATAACTACAGCGCTGGCGTTTCAGCTAACATGATGGTAGAACTGTGTATTGAGGTAGGAGGCAGTTGTGATGTTGCTAAATTCATCAGCTGTGATGATGATGCAAGTTTCTTGCATAAATTTATGCATGCAGTCATGGTAATAGCCCCTAAACACGAAGGGGTGCAACTTCTCTGCCTACACAGAGGATCAAATGGCATTGCTATCAAATGAGATGTAACTTAGTGCACTTAATTAAAAATACTGGATGTTTTGGGGAATCGAAGTATCTCTTCTAATCACCAGCTTCATCTAATGTTGTTTTTATAAAAAGGCAAAGCCCAAAATGTTCAGTTCTGAATACCCAAAGCAGAACCTTTTCCTTGTTTAGACAACAAAATGTAATGTATTCATTGCCATAGGTGCTTCATGATCCTAAATAACATGTAAACTCAGTGTTCTGCACAAATGCAGAAGTTCTGTTGGGGTAGGATTTCCAGAAGAACTGGCCTTAAATATTGATTTAGGATCTTAATATAAAGTATCTGTATTTGGATTACTGTGATGGAAATTGAAAAAAAAAAAAAAATCTCTGTAAAAATTAACTTTAGTGGTGGTCTAGCAAATAAATTACATGCTCCCATTAAGAGCACGTATTTCATATCCACACATCTAAGGCTGGACAGCATGGACTTTGAAGAAGACTGGCACAACTGACATAGAAAGTGCTATTCAGCAGTCTGGAGAGTTTTAAGAATAATTTACAGCCAAAATTTTGTTTTTTCCCTGTAAGTAGGGGGCCCGTCCGCACCGCAGGTGGGCCAGTGTTTGAAGCTTGGATTTTAAGGCAGTAGCTGCCTCTGAAAGTAACTGTGATACGTGGCTTGCTGTGCCCCGCGGTTGTGATGCTGTGCTCCCAGGTAGCTGTGACAAGGTATGACGTGTTCCTTAAATTCAGTGGGTCAGAAATGGAGCTAAAATTTTGCCTATCATGAGAGATGATTTCAGATGTAGCCATACAAGTAGGAAGGAAGCTACTTTAGCAGTGCCTCTTCTGGATCAGTTCAGGAGAAGCTATTTCTCATTACTTTGCATTTACCAAGGGGCAGAGAACTCATGTGCAGGCAGTTACCACAGAACAGTTAGAAAGGCATCTGATAATGTTCTGAGTTATTTCAACTGTTCTAATTTGCTTTGCTCTTGGGTTTTTGTTTGGTTTTTGTTGTTGTTGTTTTTTTGTTTTTTGGTTTTGTTTTTTTTTTTTCCCAATCTTGCCTCTTAATAAAGTCTACCCTGAGGACAGGGACTTGAACTTTACCAGAGTTTGGATCTTTATTTTCTCCCTCCTGGGGTACTTGTCCTCTGGCTTATAGTAGTTTTATAGTCATTCTTCAGAGTCCTGTTATTAAGCATGTGCTTATTTTATACAAATAAGGATTGGATTTTGAGTACAAAACCAACTAGGTAGCTTTTCCCTATGAACTGGACAATTATTAATACTGGTACTTAACAGCATCAAAACCACAGGCAAATCTAGCTGCCTGCAGAGCGTGGTCATTGCAGGTTTTGATGCTTGCAGAAGAGGTATGTTGCAAAAATAAATTCCTTGCATTGCTGGTTTTATTTTTTCTGGGAAGTGGACGTCAGACTGTTGAAAGGTTTTTGGATGATGTATTCTGCCCTTTTGATCAGGTGCAGTTGGAGGTTTGCCCTGGTGAAGCCAGAACCTTACACAGCAAGGAAAAGTGGGAAAAGCGTGCATTGTCTAGATTTGGTAGAGCTGTGAAATGTTTTCCACCAGGCCTAATGAGGTGCCAACAAGCAAAGGCGTAGTTGGAAATAAAGTTTGTACTTGGATTTTTATAGGAAGTTGTAGATAAAGTTCCTATGTAAGGGGAATGTTGGAATCTAAAATCTAAAAAAAAAATCTCACTCTAAAATGGTCCTGTAAATTCTCAGGGTTGGTTATAAAAAATGCCGTTATGTGCTGTAGTGATGGTGTCATCTGTGGTTCCCGTGACGGACCTGTGAATTCAGAACATAAGTTCATCATCAGTTTGTCTGAAGGGAGCACGGAGACTCATGAAAAGATCCCCGTAAGCAAAGCTGGGAGGTACTGAGACAGCTTATGCTCTGTGTGAAAGCAATTTTCTCCAGCTATCCAGCTGGAGAGGGCTGGCAAGAAGACAACGGATCTCAAAAAATAAATGTGATTAGGTTAATTCAGAGGAAACTGCTTTAGATTTCCCTGCTGTGGCTAAGAATTACAGTGCAGCCAAAAACAGCAGATCAGCTGTCATACAGTAACATTTTGCACTCACGGGATACATTTTTTCAGTGTGCAAACCAAACCTCAAATACATTGTCCCTAAAGCACAAGGCAAGAGAACATCTCTGACTCAGATATTTTATTAATATGATGAACTGTGTGAGATTTCAGACCAATACTTTTCCCAAATTCTTAGTAGGAATTGTACAGCAATCCTGGGGCTGTTTGCACCAGCAAACGGGTAGCTGTAATTTATCACTGGAATTGCTTCACCATGGTGTGGGTGGAAGTTGTGAAGTAAATAATATCTGTTACTCTAGATAATTCACACTTGAAAAGATTTCTGGTGTGCAGATGAGGCTTATGTGTATCAGGTAAGCTGTATGTTTTACTGAATTCCTTTGGTTTTACCCTGACTAAAAGCATTATTGTCCTGTGGTTTAGCATGTTTTCATTGTTGGTGGCTGCTTATAGTCATTTTATTTCTTTGCCAAAGACTTGTACAACTTTGAAGGATGTTCAGCTGGCTGTTGAAAGTTTAACTGAAACAATACATTCTCATCAATTTAAATGGATCCAGTTTAGTTAGCTGAAGAATTTAGTTTTCCATTGTTTCGGAAATCTCTTTGTAAAGCAAAGGAACACATCTGATACAATATTGACAGATTGTAACTAATCTGAGGTATCCTTAGCTAGGCATTTGTCTTTTCTGGGAAATTTTCTCTGCCTCTGTGGGCTTTCTATTCCCTCTGAACCACTTTTATTTAAGATTAGCATTACTTAGGATGTTTTTTAAATACAGAAAAAAAATTTTCAGTTAAGGCCGATTTGACTGCTGGTTACATAAAGCAAAACCTTCATGTTTTCTAGAGTCTTTGCTGTCCCCGGTGTAAGTAGAGTTTTGGTGGTCTAGTAGTTACAACTGCAGTATGTTACAGTGCTCTGGGGCTTCTCATTTCTTTCTCTGTGAAGACAAGTGTTGTACCAAGATCTGCCATACTTCTACATACAGTAGATTTCTACATATTTTATATATGTGTATTTTTTTGTTCTCTTTCTGTTTTAGTCCATGAAGGTAGCCCACTGGGTGAACTTCATCGCTGTGTCCGAGATGGTGTGAAAATCAATGTCCATATCCGCACTTTCAAAGGGCTTCGTGGAGTCTGCACAGGGTTTTTGGTTGCATTTGACAAGTTCTGGAATATGGTAATTATTGTTCCAGCCCTTGATTTATAACTGCTGTATTGAAAACTTGAAATTTGCAACAGGTTTAAGCAAGCTACATTCTGAGAAGATTAATGTAGTATTGTGGTTCATACAGCTAATTTGCCCTGCCACTGAGGGATGGGTTTCAGACTTTTAAGTGGTGTTTGGCATTGGATTGGTACATCTGAGAGGTGTCTAGCCATCTTAGAGAGGTTTTAGGTGAGAGAAAAGCTTTAAAGATTTATCAACATCTTCAGAGGTTTTGTATAAGAATCCAGGAAGGTAGAATATGAGGAATATCAGAAGTTTCCAAAGCTTTCTCTGCAAAACCCAGTCCTCTTATAGTGGTAGTCACTTCACTGTTTTCTTTCAGTAACACATCACTGGGATGTCAGTGACAAAAGATTTTCCCTGTGTTCTGCTTCATGAAGATCTTAAAGACTGTGGGTGAAAGAGCAGCTGTTAATTATCTGTGAGCCTGGAGCTGTGAAAAGTTTGGAAATGGGGCGGGGGGAAAGGATTTTGCAGGCAAGGCTCACAAAGATTTTTCAAGTAATGCAGAATGGGTGCAAGGCTTTGCTGTTGCTTTTATACCTCAGTACAACTTAGATGATTAAGAAACCAGCTCCAAAGCACAGCTTGTTCCTAGGATGGATTTTCTCTCGGATAGAACATAATTTCATTATGCTGTGACACAGAGCTGGTCCAAAGCTTCTTCATGTTTTCTTTTAATTTTGACCTTTCCATTTCTTTTATCATCTAGGCCCTGACAGATGTGGATGAGACGTACAGGAAACCAGTAATGGGCAAAGCTTTCTATGCAGAACCTCAGCTCACACTAACCCGGGTAGGTAACCATCTCCAGTTTTCTTTTTTTTTTTTTTAGTATCTCCTTTTTCAAAGTAGTAAAAAGGGAGCATTGATTGGAAAACTAGTTTTACAATTGAAATATTTTCACCTCTTTTTATTACAGATGACTCTCAAATGACTTGAACTGGAGTGAAAAAAAAAAGTTTTCTGAACTTTTTGAAAGTACTTTGTCCATAGTTCAGTGTTACAGAAGTTCCACTTTAGAGTTCCTAATATTAGATCACAGTTGTTGCCACTGCTTAGTGCCATATGCTGACCTTTTATAAGCTCACTCTGTGGTTTTTGATATATTTGTTCTATGGATTTTCTTCACCCATGACTGATCTGGTCCACATCTGTCCTGCCAGGTGTTTTGGCAGTGCATAACTCTGATACTAATGTTCATGGAGTGACAGTCTTTGTTTCCAGACCACGAAACAGTACATCTGTTTGGTCACTTGAACTTATAGTCTAGGTACTGTGAAGCCCAAGATTCAGCATGTTGCTCCAAAGCAAGACACTCTCTAGGATCCAGCTGCAAAAAAAAGATGTTTATGAAGTTGAGAACTGAAGAGATGATCGATGAACTTCTGAACAATGAAGGAAAAAGAAATGTGACAGGGCTGTGCCTGTTGAATGGCATAGCTCTGGGCCTTGTGAACACCAGAGAAGCAGCATCACAAAAACTTTTGAACAATTCCTTTGTGAGGAATTTGCTTTCAAATTCCTGCCTGTTTTCTGATAGATCCCACCCTTCCTTTTTCAAAGATTAGTTAAAAATAATCAAGTTGTCATTGTTCCTTAAGGCCACTCTCACAGGGATTGGCTTTCCATCCTGTTGCTGGGAAGAGACAGGCTAACTGAGAATCCTTTTCATTTGTCAGTATTTCATAAAAGTTTGCCTGCTGCCAGAGTGAAAGAAGTTTCTTTTCCAGTTTCAGCACCATGTATTCTTAGATTAATGAGTTCATACAGTGCTTTGGATCTGCTGCTCTAGCTCTTATTATTTTTCTATTGTTTGTGGTCTGCTCACCTCCCAGAATACCCCCACAGCATCTTTTAGTTTGTTTTGGGGAACACAGAAGGTCCATCATTTTTTCAGTATATACTCTTTGCTGATTGAGGCCCCTTATCTTGGGGATTCATGTCCTGCCTGAGGACACAAGAATGGAAATCTCTCTAATACTATCTGACAACATTACAAGAGCGTTGGGGAAAGTGAGCTAGTGGAGCAACTTGGTGCCTGTCTGTTGTTCCTGACCAGAGCTAAATGCTACTGCACAGCAGTATTGCTCCCCAAATTAAACTCCTCAGTGCTCACATAAAGACACTCCTACGCATGCAAGAGACCTTATGTTACAGTTTGACTTTGGCAAGAAAACCTAGTCTTTATTGCTGGTAAAGATTCTTCACTAATTGTGCATTGTAAGCTCTGATTTGGGATTGTATATGCAAATGCCACATAGAAATGCTGAACAAGCAGTCTCTCTTGTTTTACGAATGTGGTCATGTACACAAATATTCTTTTACAGCTGTTTGACAGACTCAAGCTGCAGGAGTCCTCAGTAAAGAAGGGAGCCGACTCAAAGGCTGTTTCAGAGGAGCTAGCCCTGACAAATGACACTCAGACGCTGGGATTGAAAGTTGGATCAGGACGAGGGAAAGCAGAAGATGAGCGCGAGAGGCAGAAATGCTTGGTCAGAGCTGGAGAAAAGAAGATGCCAGGTGACAGTTTGCATCTGGCTGCCAGAGGTGAAGCTGATGTGGGCAGCGGGACTGCCCACACAGAGGGTGCTGGTGCTGGTGGTACCCGTGCCAGAAGCCAGTCACGGAGAAAAAAGCGGCCCAAAGTGGATTATCAACAGGTGTTCACACGTCACATAAACCAGATTTTTATTCGAGGAGAGAATGTCTTGCTTGTCCACTTAGCACATTGACTTGGCTGAACCTTTGTTGGTATATTTATTTGGTAGCATGAATTGCCACTGCAGCTCTCATTGCTATTTAGTGTTCTCATTAAGTATGATGGTAGTGTGACTGGTTTCCCATTGCCATAACGAGGTAGGGGAAATAATTCTGACTGGAGCATCCTGAGCTTGATGCCAAAGCAGTCATCTTGGATCTCTGTTGGGGGCCTCAGGACAAAGTCAGCAACACAGTTATTTCTGTGAGATGAGGGAAGTAAGCACAGAGCCCGCTGCTCCTTAAAAAGCTAAATGGAGAGGGTTGGCAGAGAATTTTGGCGTTGCAGTTAGAGGAGCTAATTATGGCACACATTTAAGGAGCTTAAGATACAATCTCCACCTGAAATGAATCACAAATACCATTTTTCATGTTCTGAGTAATCTCAAGAGAAGATTGTTAATGAAGCCAACAGTTTATCTGCTGTTGTTACATGGATGTCATCTTCTCTAGACATAATCCTGATGGCCATTTTGAAATAGTCTATAAAAAGGTGGAGTGACATACTTCTGATGGCTATTAGCCTCTTCTTCATAGTTAGCTCTGTAATATCCTGTGTGATAGAAAATTGAATTGAATTTTCATTTTAATTCAATTTCAGTAAGAAAAATCTTACTAGAAAACTGTTCTTTTTCTGTGAATGATAGCAGGACTTTAATTTGTTTTCAATATCAAAGCTTAGGCTTCTATTTGTAATGCTGTGCTTTAGCCCTGTGTCACCAGCAAGCAGCTAATGTAGCTGATCCAGGGACCTCCATATTTGGAGTTTATCTGTGAATGTTGTGGATGCAGGTGGAAAATTATACTTTTATATTTCACCCATTCGCTACTTAGTGTAATAGTGAAGTTTGCAAAGATGTAGTTTTTCTTCTCGGATTTAAGCGTTTGTGCTGAGCACAGTTGTACTGTATCTAAGCGCCTTCAAGTTCCCTCTATTGTAACTAGAGGTGCTGTGTCTCCAGCAGTTCTCATGGAGCGGAAGTCTTCATGGGTCTTTCCTATCCATATGAGTGATGCATCATCTAATTCCAGTTGAACTGAGCTTTGGAGGTGTGCCTAAAAATGTTTTGAAGTATAAAAGTCGAACTCAGCTCATCAGTGGGTTTATTTTAGCAAGGTTGTTAAGCTACTGTAGATCAGGCCAGGCTTCTGCATGTATAAACTGCTTTCCAAGAGAGCCACATGCAGAAGTTTGAGGGTAAATGAAGCTGTTACATTATCTCATATGTTCCCTTAGTTGTCAGAGGACACTAGATTTCCCACTGCTATTACTGTATTCTTCTCAACTACCTTGAGCTTTGCAGCAGCTCCATGTATTTAAGATAAAGTTGGAAAATAGCTTTATAGCAGGTCTTGTATTGCATATAGAGGTCATAAGTCCTCAAACCGAGTGTCTGTACTCTCAGTGACATATGTTTCTGTTGCTGCAAATGCAGCATACTGCTTGCTTGTCATTAAGGGTATGTCTGGTGCTTGGGCGAATTGCAGAAATTGCAGGAGGTCCTGGGCACAGAAAGCAGCTGTATGCCTCTGGGGGAGCCTGAAACTTTTATGTCAGCGTTTCAGATGAGATGGGGCTTGGATGGCAGATCAGCTCAGCCACTGAGCTGCAAACCCAAGTTCAGCCTGGGACAGAACTGCCTTAGAATAAAAAGCACTGGTGAGGCAAAACAGTTTCATCAAGAGTGGGGGGGGGAAAAAAAAGAAGGGAAATAATAACTACAGTTTCCCATTATACATAGCTTTATTGCTGTAATACCTTCCTACTATGAACTGAGACTAGACACTGAAAAGATTCTTCTCTTGGAGGTTCTTGTTTCCTCTCCTTTTGTGCTGTTCTTGTTTGTATTCATGTGGTCTGCAGTTCTTCCCATTTTTTAAATATTTTTTTTCCCCTTTTCCTGTCAGTACTTTGTCTTCTCAGGACGTTCTAAACTCTGGTTTAGGAAGATTGTTCTTGTATTCATCCCTAGTTGTCCTGGCTTTCTGAACCTTTCCTGGTTGGCTTTCTGTGAGGTTGCCGACAAGGCAGAACCCTCATGAACTATTAGAAACGTGTGAAGCTAGAAACAAGGGGCATATTTCTGCTCCTGACTTCTCTGCAGATTTTATTGCAAGTGAATATTTTTCTTCATTATATTTTTGGTTGTGGGTTGTTCTTTCCCCTCTGCTTTCTGGCTGCTTTGCTTTTATTTCATTTGCTTGGGTTGACTTATCTCTGCCTTTTCCATTCATGCCAAAGGTTACTGGTTTTGACCTCACCTCTTTCCTTGATACTTGACCAAAGGGTGACAGATCTCCACTCAGGCGTATGTTATGACATCTAATTGAATTCTTGCTTTTCTTTACCTTCTATTATTAATTTTCTTTGTCTGCCTAGTTTATACTGCCTTCTGCATTAAATAAGGTACAACTACCATGAATGTTCTTGTGGCTGTACTGCCCTCTTTCCTTGGCAGTTTACACTTCACCAAGTTCTCAGTTGCTACTAGAAGTCTCAGCGTTTCCTTTCATCAGAAATTTTTCTCTGAAACCTTGCAGGTGTTTGTTGCTTCACAACTACAAGTTTCTTTTTTTTACATTTTATGAAAAGTGCTGGTGCTTAAACTTGCATTTGTGCCTTGATTTTTTATATGGTCATGGACCTGTTCTTCTAAAACTGTCACCTCAGTCAACAAACCTGGTTAAGAACTATACAGTTTGTCTACTTTTTTTGCTCTACCTCATGAAACTGTTCCTCCTCTGTTGTCATTGTTGTCTCATCTGTGGAGTTGGTTAAAATTCTGTCTTCCAATTTAGATTTAATGGCTTATTTGGTGGTTCTTCGTTTGTTTCCTACTTCCCTATGAACCTCTCTCATTATTTCCAAGCTGCTTCCTAAATACAGCCTCTTCTACAACTTCAGATCTTCCCAGATGTCTTCCTTTTCTCTACTTTTTATGACATTGTATCTTTTTAAGGCCCATTATCAAAATGCTATTTTATGAATTTTTGTCTCTTCCAAGCATAGCATTTGTGACTTTGTCTCTTTCAGGCATCATGGTTGTGACTAAGCAAGTGATCTGTGTTGTCACTTGCATGTTTAATACTTCAGAAAATGTTGCTCTTTAAATAAAATTGAATGTGATGTTCTGAAATTAAGTCTTCTACCTCACTTAAGTATACATGTAAATCTGTTTGTTTTTTTTTTCTAAAGAAAACAACCCTTGGAAACAAATGAGCTTTGTTTTTTTTTTATTGTTTCCAGTTATTTCATGTTTTTCCTTTTCCAAACTCAGCATAAAATCCAGGTTCTTTGTTCAAAAAGCTGTCTGCTCCTAGCCATTCCTCTATTGCAGCAGTGTCATAAAGATGGTGTGAGCATAGACAACTGGAGTCATTATGCTAAAGAATGAAGAGTAGGAGTGGGAGTGTCTTAAGAAACAGAGCTGTGTGAGAGTGAAAAAGCTTTGGACCAAATCTAAAGAACTTTCTGGAAAGAATCCACATACTGGTTGCAGCCTGTCCAGTATTTCCAGGACATTGTTCAGCCTGGTGCTCAACAGCGATTCCTGGAGCATGTTTATGGTGAGGTACCATATTACTGCACGGAACAGTGTTCTGTACTACCTTTGAAGAAGTGTTGAGGTAATTTGAGAATTTTTTAGAATAATTTCTGTAATATCAGACAAATATAAAACTTGTGAAATGTTATGATGCCAGCTGCAGAAATGATATCATAGTCTTGGAATGTGATGTCACATATATCTCACAGTGTCATCATATATCTTTTCATTGCCAGCACAGTTCAGTAGGGAGCCAAGCCCCATGGTTACTTTAAGAGTGGTGATTTTATTTGTACGGTGATGTAATTCTAGGGACCTTTGCAGATAGTCTGAATGAGATTTTCATGGAACCACAGCATAAAAGCGTGCTATGCTGTGGGGATGTGGGGAAACTGGTAGGGAGGATCGAGCTGAGAGCTGCAGTGTTACCCTGAAGTTATGGGTGTTGTGGCTGGGATTATTTCTTGCCAAACTCTTTTGCGCAGGTGCTTCATTTATATTGAACGCTTCTTAAACAGGGCAGTGGTAGTAGAGTAGATAAGGGAGCTTGTAAAAAGTGTGGCTTTAGTTCCTTCTCTCAACTGACTTGTCCAGCTTGTTAATTGCCTGGAAGGTTTTTTTTTTTTTAAATTTAGAGCTGGATACTTGGCATGTCCTCACCAGGTGATTACTGAAGTAGTCCGTGAGTACTGTTTTCCATCTGCTTCTTGTCCTTCAGTTTCCAGATTCGTTGTTTCTGATGCATCTTTCCCTTCTGTATCATTTAGAAGCAGGGCAGGAGTAGACTTGACTGCCGGCTGTTTATTTCCCCCTCCATAAGGAATGTTACTCCATCTAGTTTTGCATCCAGATAGGCTATTCTTGGTTTTCATAGTATTCTCTGCAGACTTTTGGAATTACTTGGTCAGAAGAATTATTCAACTTGGATTGGTTGGAGTAAACATTTTTCTTGATTTAAAAACATTTTTTTTTTACTTATTTACCTTCCCACAGTGCTAGGTTTTCCTAGTTTGCTGTTGCAGTCACCCACTTGCACTTAGGAATTACCATGGGTTGAAGAAGCGTCCAGGAAAAAAGCAACAGAGAAAAAATGTTTCATTTTTGTTGAGTTTGATGTTCTGTCCAACATGCTGCCCACACCCTTTCTATTGCTTATGGACACTGACATAAATGAGACGGGTGACAACAATTATTTTATCCAGAATCTTGAAAGAAAATGGAAAGGCAGCAGGGACAGAAAACTGTGAAAAAAGAGAGTTTCTGAAGATGTGTATCTCCAGGTAAACTTCCTGTCTTTGATTAAACAGATCAGAATTATAACCACCATATAAAACTGCAAGCTCTGCAACTGGATAAAATTGGAAGGCACAGTTCTACACCCTTTCAGAGGCAATGCAGCCACAGTAGCAATTGATTCCTTCAGCCAGGCAAGCTCTTTCCTGAGAAGCTGTTGTTATATGTTAGTGTCTGCCTCAAAGCATAACTGTAAAATACTGTGAATTAATATGAAGATGTTTTCTCTCCTCCCTGCATTGCAAAGTGTAAAACATAAATGCTAAAGTGTGCATCTTCTGTAGCCCAGAACTATTTCAGTTCATGCTTTTGCTTCTTGACATTGGCTTAAAAATTCGAAGTTTGTACTATAGGAATCCTAAGGCAGTCTTTGCTATAACATTATGAAAGGCTAACACTTACTAGAATTTATATTGAAAAACTAAGGTATTACAGAATTTGTGGAATTCTTATTGTAATTAAGGTATTGCAAACAAGAAATATCTATTCCTAAGGATATTATCAAGATGCACAGATGGAAGTGTATGAAGCCACAACTGGAAGAAGAGGTGATAAAGAAATACTTCCCTTCTTCTAGTGAAGGATGATCCTTGCCCGTAAGAAGATGGCAAGTACAAGGATTTGTGATGTCCTGTCCTGTATTATCTTTTTCAAGATGCTGCAGTGTACACAGTGGTGAGATCTGAGTATGTGGATAGAAGATGACAGGGGCAGCCAGCTGCAGTAGGAACTCAAGGGGAGAGACCTGAGATCTTAGTAATATCCCTCTAATAATGAGCTAGAAGTCTAGCAAAGGAGGATAGAGTCCAAGATGAGCTTCATTTTTTAATTTACCAAAAATATTAATACCCTGGTAGGGTTTTAATTTAGAAACTTTAACTTGGTCAGACTTTTTTCCAGCAGTGCCTGTGTCTCACCTTCAGGTAAACATTATTATAACTTTTTAAATATAAGTAGTGCACTGTTCATGTAGCCAGTAGTGTTCATTTTATATCTAAAAGGTGCTTTTAAGAGCCACTGTCATGAGAAGGAAACATCCATTTTCAGGAGGTTACATGACTTTTCTTCTATTCTGACTTAAAACCTAAGATGAAAGTGGCAACATCTGGATGTAAGTAAACCAGTTAAAATTTACTTGAAGAGAAAACCAATTTCTTAAAAAATCACAGATTTTTCTGTCAGGTATTGTCAATGTGTCAGCAGGAAAAATCATCAATTGTTGTGTGGTTGAAATGTGGTGGAGAAAAACCTTGCTATTTAAGAGCATCCTTTGCTGTCATCTGGTTTTTACCCATTAGCAGCCTAGGCAGAAAAAAAAAAAAAAAGAGGCCGCTTGGGAAGGGATAGACAAGGCAGTCTGACCGTCCTCCTCTAAGTGGGCACTGCAGGGTCAGTGCACTTGATGAAGTCTTTTCTTGATGGAAAAAAAGTGTGCATAAGTTAATGCAAGTATAACATGTGCCTCTCTGTACATTTTCCCAACTGCAGGCTTCCACGGCATGCGGAAAGTGGGAAAGCAGACAAAGGAAAAGGAGGAGCAAGGAATTGCTTGGTGATAACTCCTCAAAACGGGAGGTTGCTCTCTAGCCTGAACGCTTTGCATGACTTGTCCAGCACTGGGCAGTCGTGCTCTGTGGGCAAAGGGGGAACAGAGGCAGTTCTTGAGTGCGGCCTCCGTTACGTTGTGAGCTTTCACAGCGTGTGAACTGTTCCCCAGGAGCCTCTGCCAGGCTCTGCCCCTAATCACTGACACGTTTGATCCCTCCTCTCAGATTTTGCAGGGGAAACCCAGTGGGAGAAAAAACAAGTAAGGAAATTTCCGCTTTTGAGGCAGGGATGGTAGGGGGCCTGGTTATCCTTGTTAGCTTCCTGGCGGCACAGGAGAAAGGACTACTTTAGTGGAGGAGTATCAGAGATGGCTTGTCTCATGATGTTTACAAGTCCTTTTAGATGTCACTGTAAGTGCTCTTGCTCTTAGGTGGTAGAAGTGAAGGCCTGTCAGGGAAGGAAAATGCCTTCTGATGTTCCTGGATAACTATTTTATTAGCTGCTAGCTTCACAGTGTACACTTGGATGACTTAGCTGAAGAAAATTAGTACACCTGAGACTTTCAGTCAGTCTTGTATTCGTTTAGAATGAAAAGTAGTTTGATCAGTTTGTGTAAAAACATATCCATCCTTTTTTCCTCTCAAAAGATCAGTGCTCTCCCTCAGGAAAGAAATGAAAGCTGTTCCTGCTCCTATAGCGATTGCTTCTGATTTTCACTGCTTCAAAGCAAAGTGCAGCTGTGTCATTGTATCTTCAGTGTGACAGATCATTCTGAGATGAGAAAATGAGGGAAGTGTTCAGTTTCTTTAAAACTAAAATGGGCATTACGAGGGGAGCAGTTGTGTTGACCTCTTTTCAGGTGGTGCATGCATCCACTGTAGTTGCATGGATTGGGACTTGTTAACCAATTATCATCTATAAAACTTCCTTAATAAACCACAGAGGAGCAGCATGACCTATGAGATTGACGTGGGATTAGAAGTCAGGTGCTGACAAATTCTGATCTCTCTACTGCCACTTGCTCACTGAATGGCCTTGGCAAGTCACTTCCCTCCCTCTCCCTTATGCTCCACAGCTGTAATATATCTGAGAGCAATCCTTGCCTGTCTCACAAGAATTTGGGGAAGTGGTGAATGCTATACAAGTGCTAAGTATTGTTATTAAAACTATAATATGTCAGGTAATGCAGATACATAGATCATCTGCCCTATTCAGGCACTTGACTGTTAGCCTTATGTCTCTGCACACTAAAAATGTGCAGGATACCAGGTACAATGACGCACTTCAGTCTTGAAATTACTTATGTCTTCAAGGTCAGTTTTGGTGACTTCAATTTCTGTTTCACAGCTGCAATACCACATTTTGGTCAAATGGTGATAAATGAGAGGGTAACTCGTTTGCAATTCCTTCTCCGTCTTCCTAAATATTTTGTTTCTTAGGAAGCTGATGCTGCTATGAACATATTGAATAATACTGAATTTGCAATATTCTGCTTTCCAAATAGAAATGTTTATATTTAAAATTGCTCAGACTGCAATGCAATAAATAGATCCATGTAACAATTGGCTTCAAAGTATTTTTTTTTTTGGTGCTCTGTCAATACACTTGTGTCAGTGATGAAGCTACTACTGCAGCAGTTAGGGCAGATGCCTGGATGTGGAGACCACCAGGTTTGTATGCTAGCACTGCTATCAAGTGACGTGATTTGGGGCCAAACCAGTCATCTATGTGTTCAGAAGTGTATTAATCTACAAAATAAGAATATCATTATACCTGTCTCTTAGAGGTGCAGAAGGGAAGCAAACTTCACGTTGAAGAATTTAAGAACTATTGGCCTGATCACTCAAATGTCTGTTACCTTAGTGTGTGGTCTTCCACCCTGAGACGGTTTTCCAGGATCAGGGAGGTCCAGAGCCAGCACCCGAGCATCTGGCCCAGCATCTGCATAGCCCGTGGGGATCCTGACTTCCAGAAACCGGTGCTGATGTATCCGGATCAGAGATGCTGCGTGGATGCAGCTTGCTGGAGATGGTAATGTACCCGTGCTCTGGATTTCAGATGTTTGCTGAAAGGCATAATTCCCATTGCAACCTGGGAACTGTCTAAAGAGAACAAAACCTGCAGTTTAAAGCCAGGAGTGGCAATATGAGGATGCATGTAATGAGAAGGATCAGACAAGGAATTCACAGAAGAGGTCTGCAACCCATTGACTTTCATTTGCATTTTAAAGTGGTGTTTTACACAGGGAGTCTGCCCTGTCTTCCATGTGTCTGATGTTTCCCTGATGTCTTACAAGGTGATTTACAGTCAATGTGGCAGTAGACTCTTGCTCCTGTGAATTGCAATTCTGTCCGTTTAATTTACAAGTGCAAAGGACATGAATTTTTCTTTGATATTTGTGCAGGTGCTTAAGGGTAAGTGTGTGCTCAAATACCTTAAACTGGAGTCAGAACTGTTGATTAAACTGCAACAGTTGCATTCCCAAGCTGTCGGGGAAACAAGTTCTGTACTGCCACAAAAAAACCTGACCTGACCTTTTCTCACTGGATTTTACTGCTCATAAATATTAAAAACTAAACTCTAACTTTTCTAGGGTGCAAAGGCCTGTTAAAACAAGGTGCCACCTGAACTAGAAACTTCCGTCTCCCGTGCTGAGGTGGCAGATGGGGCATTTGAGCCCCCCTGTGCTGCAGGGAGAGAGCTGGGCAGGGGCTGCTGGTGTGGGTGCGGGAGGCTCACCCAGCCCCCCGTCAGTGCAGTCACATCTCGGGCTGCCCGGGCTGCCCGTACCCCGGCTCTGTCAGCGTCACCACATCTGTGGTGTGGGGGTTTTTTTTGCAGGCAGGTGACGTACGTCTGAGCGTATTTAAGCAGACATTCTTCTCGTATCCAAGGAGAATATCGCTCCAATTAAGGACCAACGATAGCTGGAACGGTAAGGAAGAGTCACAAATTCCAGTTCTGATTTTAGCTGCTCTCCTGGAGTTCTGTGAAGCTTTCACCTTCTCTTTCTGATGGTTCTTTGTCCCTGTTTTGAGAAGAGAGTTGAAATCTTTTTAAAGAAAACCTGGGGGGAGGAGACATCCCTCCTAGCTACGAGAAGTTACGCCTTTTCTAACAATGCTGGGGCAATTTTTTTTCCTGATCAAACACTACCTGAATTCTCTGAACAGTTCTTCTCAAGTTCAAGCTGTATCTTCTTGCTGTGAACGATTTATTATCCCAAACAAGGAGCTTATTCCCCACAGTTTCTTATAAGCCTTGAAGATCTCTCTCATCCTGTCATTTATGAGTCTGTCCAGTCATCTTTCACAACACGGACAATTTCTTAGGTTTGATTATTAGTTTTCCTCAGCCTTGCAGTCCTTCAACTCCTTAAATGATCCAAGTGATGAAAGGTATGTGAAAAATGAAGTTTTAATAATACAGGTACGTACATCACTGATTCACATGTTCAGCTTATGGGTCAGTCTGGGTGATGCTCATAGCCTGCTTGAAATCTGAGCAAGTATTTGAATATTTAAAATAGGTATCATGTACATTTTTCAGTTAATGGACAGTGGATATAAACTGAAGAGTACGTAACGGCACCAGCTGAGTTGGATATTCGGATAACTCCTGCCTGCCTCAGTTCTGCTGAATGGAGGTGTAGTTTGGTGAAGCTCTGGTAAGATAATTGCACCTCACAAGACTCGTTTCCTTCACAACCCTGGGCCATGGGTGCGGCTTTAACAGGAGAAGGTAATTGGATCCTGATGGCTGATTTGAGGATCTTGCTCCACCTGCACTTCTCTTCCTCACCTCTCCTTTCACATTTTGCAGTATTTGACAAATTTTAAAACAGGTGTATTTGTTATAGCTGCCTGCATCATTCTCCAGCCTCTTTTGTGTGCTGGGTATCTGTACTTGTCTCTGACCAGCTGAAGTGTTTGAGTTTGGGATTGCTTTTAATTTACTCATCTTGGTTTCACCTGTTGCCTCCCCTCCAGCTGCTGGTTTTGTTGCTCCAAACTGCGGCTGCTGCTGGGGTGGCTGTGCTGGCTGTGCTGCCGGCTCCACGCAGGGCTGAGGCGTTGCTGCCCCGTGGGTGCAGAGGGGAGGCTGGGCCTGGGTGTCCCCTCGGACAGCCCCAGCTTGCACCGCACGGGCCAAGCTGTAAAGAAATTGCTGAGGGATACAACTGTTTATGTAGATCCTTTTTAAAGGGTAGTTTGGGAGAGTGAATATGTAAAAAAAAAAAAAAAAAAAAAAAAAAAAAAATCTGTGGAATGGCCTAGAGGGTTTTACGGATTAATTTTGATGGTCTGGACCCTGTGGGACATCTCTCCAAACCGCACAGACCCTGTTCCTGCAGCTGCTGCTCTGAATGGGCCAAAATGGAGGGAGGACCCAACCCCAGTGGTCCCTTTGGGGAAACCCATCCCGGGTAGGGGATGGCTGGGCACAGCAAGGTGGGCAGGCAGGGGGCAGGGTGCGTTTTTCTGTGTAGGGGTCCTCTTCGCTGGGAAAGGATGGGAGAAATTTTCAGGGGTCTGGATTTCTCCGTTCCCTGGGTGCTAAATGCTGCAAAAGGATCGTTCAGAGAATCCCCTGCGTGTTACAGCCCTTCAGGTGGCTCTTTCCGCACCGAGCCCTGTGGTTGCTTTCGGGTGCAGAAAATCTGATGATTTACCCCCCCACAGCCCAGGACAAAAGGGATGATTCAGGTGAACGGGGGGGAGGGGGGGGGGGGGGGGCTTGTGCACTTTGGACTCAATTCCCAAACGCCTCTGCTCGCCCCCTTCCCTCTCCCCAGCTGGGACCAACTGGGAATGTCCGTGTCCCAACCCCCCCGGGCCGGTGGTCCCCGCGCTCGCTGCTCTCGCTGCCCACGAGGTGGCAGCAGCCGGAAGGGAAACCGGGGGGCGTGGGGGGGGGGCGTGGGGGGGGCAGCGGGTTTTTCTCAAAAGGCCGCGCTGCGGGGTTTGGGGGGGTGCGTGGGGGTGGGCTCTCCCCGGTGACAGGGTGCGCAGGGGGTGGCCGTGCGCTGTGTGGTCTCCAGACACCACCTGGGAAGGGGTGGGGGTGAGACTGGGGCAGCCAGAAATCCCGAGTGGGTCCGTGGAGTGCGTGCAGGCCCCCGGGGTTGTGAAGGAAACGGGTCTGGCGTCTGTGAGGCACTGCCCACGCCAGGCCCCCGGTGCCGCAGCCCTCGGGAGCAGTTACACGTTAGATCTCCGCGGAGCATCGCTTCCTGCCTCCAGAGGTTCAGCCAGGTTTCTCCGTAAGAATAGTTGTCCGGCTGCATGGCTGATGTCACTGGGGAAGAGCCCTGGGCTCCAGGCCAGGCGCTGGCAACAGGAGGCGACGGCAGGAACTGGCCAAAATTTGTCACCGTGAGTTGGCTTAGGGGCGTTCTCTGCAAACCGATTTCTGGGTCTTGCACCAAAGCACGCAGAGGGAACACCCCGGGGTAGGCAAAACATCACCGGATTTGTCACGGGGAATATGCAGACACAAAGCTGAAGACCTCGCTGGGAGGCAGCCCTTAACCGAGGGAACCATCGCCCGGCCGAGCTGCAGGAGCAGCAGTGTGGCTCTGAGAGGTAACGCCGTGCGTGGCTTTGGGTACAAGAGTAGCAGGAGTCCTACAGCCACCCCCCGATGTGGATGATGACCCTGGCTGGAGAAAATGTTGGCTGTAGGAGGAAAGCAGGAGTCGGTGCCGCTTGGTGGTGGGTGCACTAGAACGTGGCTGGAAACACCAACTGCTAGCAGATGCTGCCCAGGCTGTAAAACAGTGCTCTGTGGGTATCTGTATCTTATCATATATTCACAGGCAGAAATTGTTTACTATTTATGCCCAGTGTTGCAGTGGAGTAAATCCTATAAAGTAACATGCCTTGAGAATATGGATGCTGTGATAGAGCAATCTGTAAATGCAGCAGCACAGGCCTGAAGAAGGAACCAAGTCCCTTTCTGTCCTGCCCTCCTGCGGGAGGAGGCTCAAGCACAATAAGTTTTTCCCATCAGAGCGTGGTCAGTGGAACAATCATACGACACGTTGATCAGGAAAAGGATGTGGGAGTTTGAGTGGAAAAACTGATACTATCGTGCTAATGGCACAGAGCAGCAGGAAGGATGGCAAACAGGATACTGGGCTGCGCTTGGCGAAAAGAGCACGAAGTGATACTGGGGCTGCAGTGGCTGGAGTCGGCCGTGGGCTGTACTGGGAGCACGGGAAAAGCTGGACCAGAAAGTTACTGATCTTGCACTTCTCAGCTGGGAAGAAGGGATTTTTGCTGATTCTTTTGGGGAAAAGCAAGCAAATGTTAGGCAACATCCCAAAGTTGTCAAAATGAGGGAAGAAAGCAATTGGAAGAAAACTTGTATTAGTTGCTTGGAGGCTCCAAAGTGAGAGCAGTGGGAAGCTAAAAAAAAGCAGGGGACTTGTGGCAGGATCTCCTTGTACCCAGGGCTTTTCTGGGAGGCAGTTCCAATCTCAGGGATAAACAGATATAAAACAACACTCAAGGGAATAGGTTTATGCCTCCTGCTAGCTGCTCCACTGCCTTGTGAACAG